TACCCACAACCTACAGGCGTATTTCTGCAAAACCTGTTTTCTTCCCCAGTTGCAAGTCATAGGAACAAGATAACCATGGAGAAAGTGTATGTTTTCTGAAGGTGGTAAAATTTGTCTCAAGTCGATGACTAACTGTCTTTGTTCAAACCTTTTTTTCCTGCCTTGTCTTCCTGCGCCAAAAATTACATAAGCAATGTATTTTCCATTGTGCGGGGCTGGTGGCCATTACAGGAAGTAAGGCTGCCATTACAGGAAGTAAGGCTACCATCAGCGGGAGCTCCAATAAAGTGATTCTTTTGTGTCTCCTGGTCTCTCTGTTCTTCTTGGCTCGAATTTCCCTAACAATAATATCGATATCAATTTTGCGTTGGGAAGTAAATTTATAACTTTTATTTCCTTGGTTGTGATGAAAGAAAAATTTCACCTGAATTAAAGTTAAAAAAGTTTAATTGAGCAATTTGCAAATCTGGCATCTCCCCTCCCACCGTCCCCCCTATCCACCCCCTCACCCCTACTGAGCCAGGGTAGGCTCTGGGACTCCAGCCCACTCACGTGGTGGAACATTTATGGACAGAAAAAGGAAACTGAGGTAGCAGAAAAGAGAAGTGAGGTACCCAAACAACTGAATTCATTACCGGTTGGCATTTGCCTTATTTGAGCGTGGTTCAAGCAGTTGTCTACATTTGATTGGCCAAAACTCAGTGATTGGCACAAGTTTAGGCTACAGTCTGTTTATACCTCCCGTTGTTATAGTTCACAATATACAGAGAAACCCTTAGGCCAAAATTAAAATATGTAAACAGGCAGCTTTAGGCTAAACTTGATTTAACAGTTGAAAAAATAGTTTGTGCCTTACAAAATGAAATTTGCAAGTCGAACTCATAAATACAAATAGTAAAGTGATGGTTACCAGACTTTTGGGAGATGTGGGGATTGGGGAAATGTTGGTAAAATGACAAGAAAGTTTAGTTAGGTGGAGAAAATCAGCTCAAGAGATATATTGTACATCATGGTGACTATAATTAATCAACATATCTCATTATATATACTTGAAAATTGCTGAGTTAGTAGGTTGCTAAGTGTTCTCACAACCACAAAAAAGATAAATACGTGAGATACACGTCACTAGTAAATAGCTTTATTTAATCATTCCACAATGTACACATTTATCAAAACATCATGTTGTACACCGTAGATTTCACCATATCATTAATCATATGATGCTGATATGTTCTAATGTTAATGTGGTTAGTTTCAGTCACTTGGTTAATGGGATGTCACTCTGGATTCATGGTAAGTTGCTATTTTTCTCTTTGTAATTCACAGAATTCTGTGAAAAGATATATTTATTAAGACTATTTAAATGATCCTCTCCTCATAACACCTTCACTCATGAGTTTTGTTATTCTGTTTATGAATTTTTCTATTCATTTATTTATTGGCATTACACCATAAGGAAGAGCATTCCATTTTCCCAAATTTGTATTGCTTTACTTCTATCTGTACAGATTCACAGAATCTGATTTTATTCAATGGGCTATAATCCTCTGCAATAATTATTTATTTTGATGCTCAAAATTTTCTAAATTTTGCCATAAGGAGCTTCTTCCAACTAGATCTTGGGTCCTTTGCACATGTTCCAATCATGGTTTGAGTACTTCCTTACTTTCTATCTCTGCATTATGATTTCAAATGACTTCATACTTTTTCAGCTCAAGGCAAAGAAACAGATATTTTTCCAAAAAGCTCTGCTCTCTTTCTGTGAACAAAGGTATTAAGAAAATCAAGATCTTGAAACAAGGATTGTTTATTCATTGCCACTGTTTGTTCATTGCTTTTGGTTCCTATAGGTGAACAGAGGAAATATGTGCACACACACAATTATATAATTATGTTTGTATGTATGTTTGTATCTCTCCTTATTAAAAATGATGAATCCAAGCCTTCAAGATTCATTCTAGTCTCAATACTTTCCATATAAGTAATTATTTTCTTGTAAATCCTTGAGCAATAAAGCCCTTGGAAATAATTCAATATTTACTCATCAAATTTTAAACTCAAGAAGAAGATAAATGGGCACAAATTAGAAAAATGAACAAAGGAAACAATGAAGACCTTCACATAAACAATGTACAAATGGAAAAGAAGATAGCAGGACAAATATTTCTTTGTTAAATGCTAATTATAAAGAGAATCATATTTTACCTACCAAACTGTCAAAGGTTAAAAATGTCAGTAATAACTAGTGTTTTGAGAATTTAGGCAAACATTATTTTAGTCATTGCTGAAATTGATATAATCCCTTGGAAGTTGTGATTTCTAGAAATCTTTCTTGGAAATTATCCTTACAAAAAATATTATTCTCTTTCAAGCAATTTTATGTTTAAGATTTTTTTCAATAATTGTCCTGATCCAAGTGTGTGAAAAGGTTATACTCTTTTCCTTGTAGTGGCCCATTTATTTTTTCTGTTTTCTATTAGTAAGTCTAAGCTTGGAACTGATCCTGAAATTTGAAGACTATCATAATTAAACAATATGAACTCTGGGCTACATATTTTATGAGATATTAAAATTCAGGGCCGGGCGCGGTGGCTCAAGCCTGTACTCCCAGCACTGTGGGAGGCCGAGGCGGGTGGATCACGAGGTCAAGAGATCGAGACCATCCTGGTCAACATGGTGAAACCCCGTCTCTACTAAAAATACAAAAAATTGGCTGGGCATGGTGGCACGTGCCTGTAATCCCAGCTACTCAGGAGGCTGAGGCAGGGGAATTGCCTGAACCCAGGAGGCGGAGGTTGCGGTGAGCCGAGATCGCGCCATTGCACTCCAGCCTGGGTAACAAGAGCGAAACTCCGTCTCAAAAAATAAAAAAATAAAAAAATAAAATATAAAAATTCAAAGATGGTGCAAATATGTTGTAGTTTCACATTATGCCTCTATGTTGGCCATATATTAGCACACGATTTCTGTGGTGCTGTTAAAACTGGTAATTGTTTAACATCCCAAACCTGGTCTGCTCCCTGTTTCTCTATAGCCCGCTAGTTAAGAACGATTTTTACAGATGAACATTTGCAATCAATTTGGTAATAGGAAAACTCTAACTTTCAGCTACACTTTGTTACTCTGAAGAAAAAAAATGAATTCTATTATTTTAATTAGTAGACCTGCTTTAAAGACAAACAATGTAATTATTATTATTGTTAATATAGTTTGAATTTCACGAAAATTATTTGTGGACATACATTTTTCTCTCTTGTTATATTAATGCCTATGTGACATTCTTGAATTTGCCTCTTTTTCCATAAAGCCTAAGCTATATATTACTTGGCCATTTATGTAAAAGTTTGCTGAATTCTGGCTAAAATATTAAGAAAGAACTTCAGGGGGCTGTTTTATTTTTTAAGAAAATAATGTTACTTAAGAAAAACAATCCCTATTATAATCCAATAAAATTAGTTCTAGTAAATATTGAAACTTGAAACAGTCTCAAAAGATCCCTTAAGAAATCCCCTATAATCATTCTCAATAGCCATGGATATCTACTAAATCCTAATCCCTGAAACCAGAGGATCCACCAGGTGGGTGTATGACAAGCAATCCAATATTTCTTATATTTGTGGTGGTTTTAATCTGGTAAATCAAAGTATGGACATCTGCACATATGTGAATATTTTTCATAACTTTGAAAAAATGGATCTATGACCTGAGGTTTTTCAAGAACAATTAACCAGCCATAAATTCTTATGCTGCTAATTTCAGACAACATATTCCACCTCTTCACTAACACAATAGCCTTGACTTATTTATATTTGCTGTGTGGTATGCTGCCATATGTCCAAGCAGGCACACGTGTGCATGCACGAGTGTGCACACACATGCACACACACATGTGTCTTTCTTGTAGAAACCAAGCAAACAAGTGAACACTCTCCAATGGCATACTATAGCTTTTGGAATAAAGTCCAGGAACTCTGCACAGCATTAATAGCCATTTTTTATATTCATGTTTTCCTTGTTTCCCCAAGTTCTACCTTACACTCATACCATATTGAAAAACTATAGTTACCATAAACTACATTATCTAGTTTAAATCTGCTCTATTATCTACCTGGCATGATGTGTTCTTACTTCCTTGGCCACTCATCTTTCATTCCTCAAGAATCGGAGGTAACTACCTAACCGAAAAACAAAATAAAGTAAATGCAACTCCTCTGCTTTAGTTAGATTTCAATGCTTCATTCTCTCTGAACCCCATAACCCATGTGTACACTTGTTATTTCTCTCTTCTTTCCCCTGCCCGCCCACCCCCCACCTGTCTTCCTTTCAGTCTCTCTTTTCCAGAATTACATAGGTACAAGCACATGAGAATTATTCACTGTGCCAAATTTACTATTATATCACTATTCTCCAGTATAATATTTGTAATATTGTAGGTTTTTGATAAAAGTTGGTGAATTAATAAAGAAGTAAATTTTGGGGTTAGCAAAAATAAAAACATAAAAACAACATTAATGTGTAAAATGTAATACCTGGTTCTTATTTTTGTGCCTGTAATTCCCTGTATACCTCTGAAAATGTATTTAAATTTTTAGACTTTGTTGTCTCTTGATATTCATAAGATTTTCTTTAACAAAAACACAGTTAGCATGTACTTCCTTTTTTTTATGTTGAGGATTATTGAGAAAATGAGAGTCAACAACTTATTTTCATTGAGTACCTGGACATTTCAGAACGACGAGCCTTAGATGCATTTAAATTCAGTGACAAACACATAATTTATAAATCCTCCTGGAGAAATATTCTTAGAGGAATAACTCAACCCAGCGGTTAAAGAATTAAAGAGAAAAAAATAAACGATATATATTTACTACTTATACTCTTTCACACTTCTCACTTTCATTAGTCAAATAGAATTCACAACTCTATTGGCTGATGACTTTCATGAGCTATGATGATCTAAAACCAGCTATTATGCCGGCAGATTTCACAAACCAAGCAACTCAAATAATATTCATTTTTGTTTTGTTTTGATGTGGTTACTATTACAAAAGAAGGAAGCATGTAGGCATTAATTAAGGTGGATTTTATGAACAGAACATTTTTACCATATGAATGCGAATCTGTGTGGTCTTTACACCATAGACAAGTGGATTGAGAAATGGGGGGACTAGCAGGTAAATGCTAGAAAAGAGAATATGAATATAAGTGGGAATGTGAGACCCAAACCTATGTGTGAAGAAGGAGAAGAAGGAGAGGAGGTAGAGTTGGAGGAAGACACAGATGTGAGCAATGCAGGTATTGAATGCTTTAAACCTAGCCTCTTTTTGGGGCAAACGAAAAACTGTAATAAATATCTGGATGTAGGACAATGTGATGAACGTGAGGTCAAACCCTGCAACAGTGAAGGCCACAAACAAACCATAGATTTTGTTGACTTGAACATTTGCTGCCGCTAATTTCACAATGGCCATATGCTCACAGTAGGAGTGGGAGATGACTGTTGTGTGATAAAATTGAAACCGGCACTTTATCAGTACTAGGCATGGGGCTACAAGAATAGCAGCCCTGAGTACAACCATAGTTCCTATCTGAATGACAAGCTGGTGGGTGAAGACGGTGGCATGTCTTAGTGGATAACAGATGGCCACATAACGGTCCAGGGCCATGGCCATCAGGATTCCTGACTCTATACACTGAAATGTGTGGATGAACCACATTTGAAGCAAGCAGGAATTAAAATAGATTTCAGGCACATTAAACCAGAATATTCCAAGCATCTTGGGCATAATGGTGCTAGCAAGTGCAATATCTGTGGCTCCTAGCATGCCTAAGAAAATGTACATAGGCTCATGGAGACTATGCTCAGATTTGATAATGATCAGAAGCAAGGAATTTCCAATCACAGCAATGAGATAAATGGCACAGAATGGAATCCCAATCCAGCACTGCACAGATTCTAGGCCTGGAATCCCTATTAGTGTCAACACAGAGGGCATGTAGACTGTGATGTTGGAAACAGACATAGTGTCCTTGGACCTCCTGATGCAAACAAAAGAAATTTCTCAGTCAGTGTTACTGTTCCTCTTCTGCTTTCTGATTTTATCCAAAGTCATTATATTGAGTCTGTCTGATTTTGATAGAACTCTATAATCATCCATCTTATTCACAGTTTTGAAAGGAAAAGATGGATTGATGGAGATATATCAGATATATCACTGTTTTCAGATAAGGCATTCACAGGCAGTATGCCATAATAGGACGTTATGTACATGGCAATCCAAATCCATTGGAACCAGCAAAATCTCCTGGACTAGGAATTAGATCTCTGGCCTGTCAGTTCTTTCCAGACCTGCAGACAAAAAAAAAAAAAAAATAGAAGTTTATTTTTAGTGGATATTGCATTTTAATCAGATTTTTAAAATCTCTCCATATTCCACATTTGAGCTATTCCTATAGTATTTAATTATTTATAATTTTCTTTAAGTTAGAAGCATTATCAGACTCTGATCAGTATATTGGTATAAAAGATTCCCAGTGAAAAAGAATAGAGATAGAAATAATGGACACCCAAGAACATAATATATTTCTTTTTATATTCAGAAGAATGTAAAGAAAGTACTTTAGAAAAAATTGAAATTCTTTTTTTTTTTTTTTTTTTAAGACGGAGTTTCACTCTTGTTACCCAGGCTGGAGTGCAATGGCGTGATCTCGGCTCACTGCAACCTCCGCCTCCTGGGTTCAGGCAATTCTCCTGCCTCAGCCTCCTGAGTAGCTGGGATTACAGGCATGCGCCACCATGCCCAGCTAATTTTTTGTATTTTTAGTAGAGATGGGGTTTGGGGCAAAGCTCCTTGTTGCTTTTTAAATTTCTTTAAAGTTAAAGGAAATTATATTTTTTCTATATATTTTAACAGCTGAAATTCTTGAAATGTTGTGTGTTTTAAAATTCTGTAATACACTTTATAGAATACCTAGAGAGAAGCAACTGCTAAGCAACAAGATGAGCAGCAGCAACGTATACAGCAAAAGGACTTGCTCTTGATATACCACAGATACTGAACAACGGACAAATGAATCATTTAGCTGGAATAGAGTCTAGTTTCCTGGTTTTAAACTGTTCAGAGCTATAATTAGCATAATATGGCAAAAAAAAAGGCTCATTAGTTCTTAATAAAATATAGGTAATTAAGTTGCTTATATAACTTTATGAACTCTCACATAAGAAATTAGTAAAAATAAAAGAGTTAAAAGAAGTCAAATGTAGAACTAGACAGGGAAGACAGGACAAACCTGGGGATACCAAAAAAGAGAAAAGGGCTATAAATAACTGAAGAAAATTTCATCACTTTTCAATTTCACTGATGATGAATTGTCTGAAAATGTGGGCTCTTATGCTTTATATGAAAGTTCTCTGATTAAAATAGTCATTTTCTAAAAATTATATATTTTGAATCAGTACGTTTTAAGCTATACATTAGAGAAATGTTTGTGATTCAGTAAATAGTAGAGTTAGGTTATTTCATCCCTTCCTAGACATTTCAATAAAGTTGCTTCATGTCAGCAAGCTTATGAATCAGCTAACGGTATACTCAATGTTACCAATATGCTGAAAATTTAGGAAGCAGCTGTGTTTTGAAGGAAAAAGAAGGAAGGAAAGTAACAAGGAAGAAAGAGAGAAAAAAGGAAATGGAATCAAGTTTACTCAAATATCCAACAACAAATGTTCAACTGCTGCTAAACTTCAAATGAAGGAACCAAATCAGCAAAGGACATTTCATGACAGGGAGGCTGTATCAGTTAAAATATATTTATATAAAAATATAAAATATCTCTAATGTTAGCATAAACTAAACAAATTAATCAATTAAATACTGTGATTTCCATAGGTTTGATCCCAATGCTTAGTTTTTGACACTCCCATCCATAGGTCACTGACTTTTTCTAACAGACACAAATTTTTTCTTTTCCAAAGATAATAACAATTAGAATAGGAATCCTTTAAGGGCAATCACAATGTCTGACTTATTCAAGATTAAAGAGCTGACAAGTGAGTACTACCTGACAGGCACAAATAGCAGGGTAGCAAATGGTGGTGTATGTAAGTTCCTGGTTAGTCGGATAGAGTAATTGTTATTGGAAAAGCTGATAATTAAATTATGGGGGAAAACTTGGGATTCATGAGACTTACTCCCCAATAATTGAAAGCTGGTTTTGCTCTTACCAGATACCTAAGGAATATTGTCCATTTTTCATAAAACTTTCATTCATCACTCACCAATTTTTCTTCTCCAAGGATTCCAGCGTCATTCTCTTAAGTTGTGGGTTCTGCAATGGCTTTACTTTCAGTCTGCACTCTGTGTAACATAAACCAGCTAATGTCATATATTTTACTCTGTTTAGTGCCAGGATATGTGCCAGTATAGTATACAGTGGACATTTTGTAGATAACTTTTTACACTTTTCATTTATCTCTAATACAGACACTCTTCTGGAAGTCTGTCTGAGACCATCTTCGTGTACTCATCCTCCAATAAAGCTCATAGCAACGTCTGTAGTATTCTGAAACACAGGATAAATTTATTGAGATCAAACTGGAGAAAAAAACGTGGCTAGCCACACATTTTAATGTTCCTTTACGAATGTGTGGAGAAGTAGGAGGAGTTATGAACATGAAATGAAATATTTCCTAGTTGGTAGCCAAAACCATGAGGGACCTAGCAAGTTTTAAGTCAGCCCTCTTGGGTTCATTGGCACCTAATATCCCTGTAATTATTTCTACACTTGCAGAAATCTCTTTCTCTCTTTTCTCTTTCCCAACAGGCTAAATGCAGAATAATTGTTATGCAATTTTTTTTTTACAAGCTAGGTTCCTATAGTGCCATTTCTATTTGCAAAAATCTAAACCCCTTTTAAATGCAAACAGTTTCTATGCCAATTCCATTCTACTTAAATATATATGTTGGTGACACTTTCTTTCACTAAGGCAAAGTTTTTCTCTTTTTTTCAAAAAAGCAAAAATCTGTATTCATAACTACTTTTTATCACACATTTACCTCCTACTATTCTTCAGTCTTGTTCTTTCCATTTTGTTTTATTGAAGTTTTTTTTTATCTTTTAGTAAATTAAGTAACATTCTTATAATGACAAATTATAATGGACATTTCTAAGTCCTGCAAATGTAAAGCCGGAAGCAAGTTATTGAACGTTTGAGTAAACTTGTGTTCCTCTTTTCTCTCTTCCTTGTTACTTTCCTTCCTTCTTTTTCTTTCAAAAAACACTATTATATTTTTACTCTTTATGAGGAAGATAATGTTATATCCTCTGAATGAAATGAAAAAAAATACTATAAATGGTCTTATCTTTAAATTATTAGTAAAATGGGATTACGCATTGAAACTTCATTTATCACAGGAGTATCTGGTAAATTCTAAGCAAGATTTTGCACATGACATTATTGTCCTTGACATTTTTCACCTGGTTTCTACACTTTCTTGAATGTAGCTAGCTACAAGACACTTGACATAATGTTTAGACATTGGCAAATTTAGGAAGCATACTAATAGTGGAGAATGTTTACAATGGATTTCCAGGAGAGTTAGGAATGCAAATGAAAAGACAAGGAGCCCTATGTACTCTTTCCAGAATTTCCTCTGTGAAGGAGTATAAAACAATAGTACTGCTGCATGTTGAATGGAATTGATTTAGAGATCATATAAGCAGCTAAGCTAATATTCAGTTTATTCTTTTGTCACTAAGGAACAATTTAGAGTAGTATACCATTTGGTTTCTTTCTCTTCTCCTATACTGGCCTTATTTAAATTTCGGGGCTGTCCAAAGTTCTATCCTGGGTCATCTCATTCTTAAACTATGCATATGTGCTAGTAACTCCATACTCCAAATAACTTAGTTGTCAACTTCATGTGCTAACACCTATAACAGTATTTCCAGCCCAGATTTTCTCCCTCTGGTCCAGGTACATAGGACCAGCATGGATTGTCCAAATTTTAGTTCATCCCTCACATCCTTTGAAACATTGTCAGTGGGTTATACATTTAACTCAAGGGTATTTTTTCATTTTACTTGTAAATATTGGAAAATGTTTACGCATGAATCAATACTTAACCCTCTAGATATCTTTAGCTAGTCTACTGAATATTTTTTTATTTATTTTTGTTAAGGTAAAATATACCTATATAATTTACCATCTTTACCATTTTTAAACAGTTTAGTGGTAATACGCATATACATATATATGCAAACATATATATGTACAGTTACACATACATACACATATATGCATACATATATATGTACAGATAATACATACATATATACATACATATATATGTACAGTTCAGTGTGATACATGCAATATGAAAATTTATATATACATACCTACATATACATACACACACAGACACACACACACACACACACACAGATTTTTTTTCTTCATTTGTCCTTTCTCTCTTCTCTCCAGCCTCTGGTAATTACCAATCTACTCTCTGTCTTCATAAGACCCACATTTTTAGCTTTCACACATAAGTTAGAACATGTGATATTTGTCTGTCTGTGCTTGGCTTTTTTCACTTAGCATAATTGCTTTCAGTGCCATTTATGTTACTGTAATTGATAAGATTAATATTCTATTGTGTGTGTGTGTGTGTGTGTGTGTGTGTGTGTATATATATTTCTTTATCCATTTATCTGTTGAAATACATAGGTTGAATTCAAATCTTGGCATTTGTGAATAGTGGTATAATAATGGGAGTACTGATATATCTTTGATACTAATTTCCTCTCTTTTGAGCGTATACCTAGGAGTGAGATTGCTACTATATGATAGTCCTACTTCAAGTTTTTGATAAATCTCCATACTGTCCTTCATAATTGCTGTACTAATTTATATTCCCACCAACAGTGTAAGAGGGTTTCCCTTTGTCCACATCCACACAAGGGTGTGTTATTTCCTGTTGTTTTGTTGTAAGTTATTTTAATTAGGGTAAGATGTATCACATTGTGG